TTTCATTATTGTCAAGTTGTCCCAAGCTTATTACCAAACATGATGAAATTTGTAATGAATTTTGCGGTAAAAAATAACGAAAAATTCTCTCCGTGTACAGCTTGCTTTAGAGTTTAGACAAATTTGCTTTAAGAAATATGCCCCACCATCTACATATATTTCTGAAAAAAAAAAAATTTGATTCGCGAAAGGCAGTACTTAGATGCACCCTCTATCTTCTGTCGCTTTCTTCGGGACAAGCGCGAGAAAAAAGCGCGAGGAACAGAGGAACGTGCGAGTTAACGCATACGCGCGCAAATTCACAGGCGTGCGCGCAGTACAAGAGAGACGCAATATATATAAAATATATACTTAATCTGTATTCGAGGCATGAGCGCCTCACCGCCCAGCCGACTACCTCTAGCCGGCGGAATACAAAATTCCCGTATTCAGATGCCCCGCGACAGAAATTGACTTTATTGAGGTTTATTGATCCGCAATATTGTGTTCCGCCGCGCGCGGAGCGCCCGCGGGTGCTGGTTCTTCGCCCGCGATCGTACGTGCACCAGGTTCGCACCCCCGCGTATGCACGCATACACCCTACATTCCGCACATGTGTACATACATAGGGCACTTTCCCCGCTCGCCGTAGTGTCTGTGTTCCCGGAGGTGCAGGGATTCGAATTTACGGAATATGGATACTTTTACTCCTCAGTCAATGTCGAATACAGAGTGACTACCGATATTAGTCAATATTTGCTCTGAAAGCATGGATACTTTGAAGCATTAAAAAAGAAGTGTTCACGAGAATAAATTATTATTAAGACGCGAACATATTGTTTTCTTATATGTATAAATATTATTACGTATAATGCAACGACTTGCGTTTTAAATATATATATATATACTCTCTAAATCTGAATGAGAGGATAATCACTGATATCAGTGCCAAGTATGCCACTGGTAATCAGTGAATTAAATGTGAAATCCCTAACCTAGCCAATCTTTATTATGTGATCTAACTAACCCTGTTTTAGCGCTTAAATTCAATGAATATGGTATTGGAAAATTGAAATAACCGTGCAAATATATCAGTATTTTAGTTGTATAATGCTCAAACGTTCTTCCTTTTTTAGTTGAACTGCACTGATTATCAGTGCCAAGTATGCCACTGGGTAATTAGTGACTATTCACTGATTCAGATTTAGAGAGTATAATATCGCGAGATATATAAAAATACTTTATATAGTACTTCTGTATATATTCTCACTGCTTCATTAATATTACTCGGATATAAATGCGCGCGTCTATATGTACAAATGGAAAAAGCTCGGCCCTAGAGAATCTAAACCAGAAACACGTTTGCTTTTCTCGCAATTCACAACTCGATCTCGCGAGCGCAACTACGAATCATGTATTTACAATTAGAACAAATGTCTTCATGCCGGCTCGAATACACCCGGATAAGGAAACGAGAGAATCTTGATAGTATATCGATCGAGACGAAGCCGATTTACCTTCTTCGAGTAGATGAGATATACATATATTTATGTGTACATATACTTATATACGCGTCACGATGTTGTTGCTTCAGTATGTGTTTAGAACGAGAGTACGTTGATAATGTACCGAACATTTTTTCACATGATAACGCTAGCGATTCAAGAACTGGTCAAACAGCAAATGCGTAAGGTCCGATCAAGTTTTCATAGAAATTATAAAATGATGTATCACATTTACTCATCTTTAAAAATAAAATTTATCTAGTGTCATTAAATGCGTTTTCTTTTTCATCAAAAATTCTCTAGTATTCATTAAATATAACTCTGATATATAAATGCACAGATCCGTTGGTTCTTTGAAAAATATTGATAAAAAACTACATTTCTTTCCTAAGTGCACGCATTGAAAATGACAAAATACACATCTACAAATGAAGACATCGTAATACGACGCAACGTCAATCTTGAGCGCACTCCCAAGCAAATTACTTACGTAATCTGCATCAATTATTAAGCGGTATGACATAAGTCATAACGCAATCTCAATCAATATTATTTTTTCCGATCGCGTTGCAATCATTCGCAAATTCGTTATGATATTTTTCCTTTCACTCCTGAACGATGCACTGATTAGCGGAGAACGAGATAATTTTAATTAAACTCTTCGTCACAGCAGGTTGTTTGCCATTCGTTGGGATTAATTAGGTCACCCGGTATATATCGCCGAGTTCGAACAAAGAAGACGATCGAGCACGGAACTTGGTCGATTTCGAGAAGCCACGGTGGGGGTGAACAGGTTTTAGTTCTCACAAAAGAGAACTCACACCGAAAAGCCGCCATCTATGCCCGTAATATCGCGATGGTCAAACGTAAATGCGCTGGCATAACGACGCGTAGTTATAAGTTATAAGCCGCGCCGAATTACCGCATCCGAGATAGGCATCGCAAATCGCGTCGCAATCTTCCACGTAGCCATTGTCGCTCCTTTTTGTTTTCTGCCTCTTTTTTTTATGACCTCTGCACTCCTGATTATCGCAGGCAATTTCGACGACGATAATTTTAATGTCGATTTAATATCACTGATGGAATTATGTAAACGCAGCAGTACTTTCACCGGCTCAATGAGACTAAATTTTCACCCAAAGCGAATTTCACTTGACATTATGAATGCCGGATTACCGGTGCGGCGACAAACGAACACAATGTCGAGTAAATTGCGAGTGGCAAGCGCGAATATTCTCGCCGGACTGCTTCCAGATACGTGACTTCAAAGTGCGTCATAAATTTTTACGCCTCATTCGCGACGGGCTATTATAAACTGCTATTACAATATAATCCTGCGTAAAATTGAAAAAGGCTTCTTTAAACATTGCTGCATTATTATATACGACTCGTAATACAACTAGTAACTTTTACACAAATTAAATCAATTATTCGAATAAAAAAAAAAGAAAAAGGAAACCGAAACAGTTTCTCCCGTTTCAGGCATTGCCTAGTCAACAATCAATTTCGATTAATTCCTTATCGATCAACCAAGCGCGATTATGCGATAAAATTCGGTCGACACGACGGGCGAGGAACGAGCGTTTTCACTAATGCGATTATATCCAGCGTTTCGCTTTCCAGCGCGAACGGCGCGACGTAGCCGTGCGACATAATTTATTTCCGCGGAGGGAAATGTACAGTCACTTTTTGGCGCGGCGGCTGAAGTTTCTCCTGGTAATAAGAAGAGAGTCGCTTACTGGAACGGAACCAAGTGGCGCGTTTTCGCGCGCGCGACAGAGGGAAGAGAGCCCGCGCGGCACGTAATTATCCACTTCGAAAACTCGGCGCCGCTTTAAACGCGGAAGAACGGCGGAGATGCGACTCGGTGCGGTACGAGGCAGTGACAAAACACGACAAATTAATGGTCGGAATGCGCTGATGTTACACGTACAGCCGACCGTTTCGAGCTGCAATACATGTCCCAAGAGGAATTTCAGTACGCAGAGTATCCTGTTTCTACTACGTTACCTCTCATCCACGGACGTGTTAGACAATTCAAAGTGGAGTCTTGCCCGATAAAAATATCTGGATAATTCTTGAATTACACCAAAAACAATCAAAAACAAAGAGCTGCTGATAATTAAGCTGAAAATAGTGCAAGTCGGTGCTATATGGTGAAATATCAGTTTTCATCATCTTCAAGTTAACCCTCCGTCGACATGAATTTTAACTCTTCCATCAATAACAAAGATTTTCGAAAAACAGAGCAAATTTTTTATTATTCCGGATTATATAAAAATTTGAAAAAAATTTGGAATATTTGTCAAAGCTTTAACTTCAGTTTTTATCATCACAAAAATCAGATAGTATTTTACTTATTTTTCACAGATTTAAATGTATCTCTACTTAAATTTATCAGATCTATATAAATTTATGTTTCTCTAAATTCTTTAGAGTAGAATGTCATTCTGAAATGTAAAAATTGAGCCCTGAAAAAGAATCGACATTTCATTCATCAGAGAATGACATTCACTCTGAAAATTTTAGAGAGTACTAAAATTCACAATCAAAATATCGATAATCCTTTAAATACTCCTGCCGGTGAATTCTATTTACTAAGCTAAAAATTTTCACTGAGAAAAATTTGATTCAATTACACATTGATGTGATTAATACATGAGTAATTGCGATACTCAGTATAAAATTCAAAGAAATATATAATAGCAAGTATATAATTATCACTGATAATTTCTTTCTAATTAACGTCAACGATAAAAATATGTACCAAACAGATTGCTAACAGCACACGCATCATTACTTCGATAATACCTCGGATATTTTAATGCTATCGTAAACATCCCCAGACTGCATACAGTCGAGCACGTATTGTGCGTTTTTACGAGCGCTTGGCGACGTCTCATGAGTCGTTTCATTGCGATGAGATACTTTCGCGACTCGGTAGTTCGTCATTCGACATTGGAAAAGAGAAAGGCAGTCAAGAGGGTAAATGGTACAAAAAAGAAAAAAATACCAGCCGGGGAAAAAATGGGTTACTCGCTCTTCATGGCCTTTTAAACACCTCCCGTTGCGTCAGGCGCAAAGCTGTGTTAACGTGTCGTACGCCCACGTACCACGGTCGTAATTGCAATATCCGCGTCAAGTAAACATCCGACTGTTGTATAGAGGATTTGTAACCGTCAGCTAGTCTTCGCTCATTTCCAAGCAACAGCGAAAAAATGAAATTGCTCGCAAATAAAATCTCAAAAGTGCGTTTTAAAAACTAAAACGTGTGGCGATGGATGCAAGAAAAATCAAATTAGATGATTTTTAGATGAAGCCGAAATGATCCTTCTCTTAAAAAAAAAAAAAGATATTACGCAAAGCGTTTACTTGCATAAGCTTTTAATTCTTCGCGTTAAATCTTGATGAGCTAATCTCACGTTTCACATTAAAGTACCGTCAACTTGAAACTAACTAAAGAACAAAACTTTATTCTTCATTAATTACTTATTTTAGAGCGCTTTAGATACCTTAACAATTAATTCCTCTAGTGGTCATTAAAAGAGAATCAGAATTTTCAAAAATTCTGTCATTAGCCAAAATTGTTAAAACTACAATTACATCAAAGCATTATTATTTTCCACTCTCCATTTCATTGTCGTAATATTCGATACGATGTGAAACTGCGAGTATGCGACATTAGGATCCCGCGGCGTGATGTATATCATTTCCTTTTCAAAATTCGCTCGACAGAATCCCCTTTATCCTTAAAACAAATATAAGACTCGCACCCCCTTAATTCCTAAATATTTTTTGCGATACAACCCGGAGCTCAACTTGTTGCGCGCTTTACAGGCCCGTCACCGCCCGTTGAAATTCCTATTTGTTCCAGCAGCGAGGGGCGCAATAAAGGACGAACCGCGGGTATGGAGTAGAGAGAAAAGAGGCTGAAAAGAGAGATGAAGGAAGCGACATACGCATGGGAGAAGATATGCGAATTGGAAAGAAGACAAAGTGATTTGTAGGAACGTCTTAGTACAAATAGAACCATTCTGTATTGCTCGGTTCAATTCAAAATGCAGTTTCTTCTCGATTATGTTGTGAATGAATCATCAAAAATAACTTTAACGGAATTCAGTGCAATTTATTGATTTATATACAAAAACAATTGAATAAAAAGTTTCTTTTTTTTTATACGTCATCACAGGGAAAATGATACAAGATGTACATTCTTGCCGAATATATATAAAAAAATTTTTAATATTAATTCATAATGTTGGAATCATTAAGTATGATATTACGTGTAGTATGTTTCGCTTCGATTAGTCATCTGAAATAAATCGTAGAAATATAATAAAGAATGATCACACTTATGAAAAATTTTTTTTATTATAAATGATTCATTCAGAGTGACTACCAAGAGTGAACCATGTAAATTTCCCTTTAACAGATTCGGATGAGGAAGGAAGAGTAGGAGAATATGGAGTCTCTCAAGGGCGAATCCGGCAGCACCGGTTTAAAGGCAAAAAGAGAAATAATAAGGGCGGAGCCATGACGGAAAGCGGAAAGAGAAGCAGGAGTAGGATGGAGGAACCGTCGAGGGACAAAGAGAAGGACGAGAACGCGAGAACGAGGACGAGCTTAGGGATGCGCGAAACAAATTGCAGGAAAGGGGAGCAAGGGTGGCGAACGGTAGGGATGCTTAATGATAGAGAATTGCAAGTAATGGCGAGTAACGCGGCCTATTTAACACCCCCGCCTTATCCTATCACACGAAATAACCTCTGTGTCCCCGTTAATATTTTCTTATCGTCTCTAGCAAAGGCTACTCGCCGTGAAATAGGTCTGAATCAAGCGGACGATAAATGCGAACTTTTGTCCCTATTACTACATTCAATGTGCGAGTGTATATACGTTGCATTTAAATGAATAAAAATGTTACAAATAATAATATTGAGATGGAATGTTCAATCTCAAGTGAATATATACAGAATAAATAATAAAACTAAATACACCGAATACACAAGCAATCAAAAGTCCATATTCGCTATTCGTTCGTTATTCGTTTACCGTATATCTACCTTTACGTATATTAGGCTTCTCTACTCTGGGCGCCATCTTAAAACTGCTCGACCGAGCAAATTATTACGCTCCCAGGATGCAATTTCTCCCGCTTTAGAATAGTGTAATAGTGTTTGTCCCCCAGGCTTACGAGCGTATCACGAAAAATCGTCGTCGCGCAGACATTTTTCAACTTAATCGACGGTGCTTAAAATGTTTGTCCCTGATTCTTAAACGTCCAACTAAAAAGTTGTCTACTGTGTGAAGGGTAAAAGATGAAGACTTGCCCGAACTTTTATGAAGGAGATATGAAAACATGATTTTACCAAAAGGTAAATCAATTTTTGATAAAGTCGTTTCTCTTACAGTACAGGAAAGGGAAAAAAATTGAAAGTCATGAAAACTCGTGAGCAATTCGCTCTTAATGAATTGCTTAAAAAAAAAAACATATGTCCACTGCATCACTTTAGGCGTGACAATCATCAGAATGAGCCATATAAAATCGGTTTTGATCGGCAGACCAGCGGTAGCACTCGAGAAGAAATTGATGCAGAAGCACTTGAAGCTGATCAGTTACTCGTCTGCGCCCTAACGAGGCAGTAATGCCGCTATTACGCAGCCGTCATTCGTAATTTCGTTTTATGAGCGAAACGAGTAATCGGTTTAGTCGACCGAGCGCGTCGGAATAATTGAACGTTGCAAAAAAAAAAAGCGGACATCTCGATCGTAGCACAAATTCCCGCGTGCACGGATACACACCCGGCTTTTTTTGTGATAATTTAATCCCGTGAATT